GATCTTTCTATGTCATTGGCACTGAATGAAGTAAGTTTTAAGAGTGAGCTTGAAATGATTTTGCAGGCAGACTGACTGACAACCTACTACTGATTACCCCCCCCCCTCCCTCCCCCAATGTATATCATCATTCTCCTGTTACCTATATTCAAACAGACAGAGTCCAGTGCAGTAAAACCCCTTGAGTATACAACTAAATATGGGATAACTACAAAAATCTGGTTTCATTTAGTTTTCCTTGTTTTATTTTCATGAGGCATTAAAAAAACCTGCACATATACTTTAATGCATTATGTAATTAATGAAGGTATTATGTCAGAGGCATACTGCTATGAAAGTTGTTAAATCCATCCCCTTCTAACAATCAAGGAGTTAGGCCTGTAGGCAAGGGAGTTTAAGGGATTGAAGGAACCGCCCCTTGGTTGGAAAAAGATGTGATATTGCTGGCAAAAAGCCTAAGAGTACTTTTCCAGGATGGAAACAGTTGAATTGATGAACTGACTGATCAAAACGTGGGTCTATAATAATTGAAACACAATATCAGTTCCTACTGTATGTTATCTTCAAGGCCTAGCTAGTGACATAAACTAGGACACATCAGCCTTTTTTTTTTTTAACTTTCAACATTCTTCATTCTATTTTGATATAATTCTTTTGAAGGGAAAAGGGTGGGAGAGGGAATTTGGGGGATTGGGTCTTACTTTATTCAATCCAGGTAATCACTATTTTCCAGCTCTCTCATTATCGCCCTGTCTTGGAGTGAATACAGGAGAAAACATCAACAGTGATCAAATTGATTGCCACCAAAGAAAAAAAAGGTTCAGAGCGGTTGCATATACTGCACAGACACTTACACACATACAGAAAAAAAAATGGGAGAACAATTGTCTCTGAAAAATAAAAAAGAGGGGCTTCACAACTAATATATATATATACCTTTTCCTTGCTCATCTTGAACGCAAATCTTCCTCCTGTAGACTTCTTATCTTGCTTGTCCGACTTGCTACGCGGCATGTCACTATTTTTCTCAGTCACGTTTTTGTCGATCTTGGTTGAGCTGAGCTTCCGCACTGGATTACTTAACCATTTCCTAATCAAGAAAAAAAAGAGAAATGAAAATATTGAATTCAAAAAGAAGTCTACCCCCAAAACAATGTTAGTTCCTTACAGACACCCACATTACCCTGAAGGGTTGAAGTATATCCCTCTCCAATCCATCCTCTGAAGCCCATTTTACTTACCGCCATTATGGGAGCCTATTTTCTAAAGCCCAGAGTGCATCAAAGCAGCATTCAGCTGAAGCACAATTCAGCTGCCTGTGTGCATGTAGTTTACTCAGAGACATGAATAATTGATTTTTTCTCAGCAAATAAAATAAAAATTGAGTCTAACTGACATTGCATAGACATCCACAGTGGAAAAATGTCAGTGCATAAAATATGTAGTCTCTTGATCAATGAGAGAATGCGAAGAAATACCCAAGGGGCGCAGAATGCCAATAAGATGTTTATATACAGATTTAATGGAGTGGGGGTAATTGTGCATGGATGCTGTACATGGATAAGCTACTCTAAGGTACAATGACTTTCCAATGGTGCAATATTGAACAAAAATCATTTTTCGTCTTGCTGGAAGTACTGAGCTAGCTTTGACATATATTTTGTCTTAGGCAACTGAACATTATTAGCCGAATCAAAGTCCATACAATGACAAGCTAATAAAAAAAAATCATTTTTATTATCATTTGGCAAAAATGTGCATGTATCTACTAATTAACACATTTGAAAACTATGGGCCCATTCAAAAGGGGGGGGTATTTCTATCACCAAACATACATTTCCTAATCTTTTCAATCATTCTATCATGGAGAAACTTTTTTAAAATATGGAAAATACAAGGGCTGAAAGTGCACACCTATACAAGGGGGGTAAGGGGGGCATAAATACAATACCAAAATATCTGGATTTTGTGATAACTCCAAAATACTTTCACCTCTAATCGTAAGAATCAAAACATAACCACATAAACAGCATACCTTATAATCAACAGCATTGTCTTCACACTGAGCATTTTATTTGTTCTAGGTAATTAACTGTGCTTTTCTATTGCAGTCATGCCCAGTTGAAAGTAAACAAAAACATCTGTCTGCTGCTGTGATTGATATCATATTATGTAAATCCTGTCCAGGACATCACTACAGTACATAATGTGAAGTATTTGAACACATATCAAGTAGCATTACTTTGGCTAGTATGTATCAGCTGCTGGGATAGTGCTAACACTCACCAATTTTACCAAATACTAAAACTGACTTGCGTTGGCTAAACAATAAAGGGTTGGTTTGACTTATTTTGGTCAAATTTAAACCTTAAGGAGAAAAAGTGACAAAAAAGAAGTGATTTGGCTAAGCAAATAAATTGCTAGTGCTACCCCATTATCAGGGTTCAGATTAAAGGTATCCTGTCTACGGTTTTCCAAACAAAATAAAAATTTCCTTTTTAATACCATTTCTAATTAAATAATTCATTTCTTAGTAACTGACCTGTCACTATGACCCCTGTGTCTTTCAGTACATTTTAGGAGGAAATATTGACATCAGGTACTTTTACTTGAATTTTATTGGTAGTAAACTCTTAATTGGGATATATAAATATCGTTCCAGGATATGTAGACATAAGCGTAATTGACACATGTTCTTTGGCACAATATCTAACAGGGACAGTATCCTTAGTAAACCTTTAAACACCCATCATGACAGGTGCTTTCAGAGACCTAGTCACCAAGAATCCTTTTCAATTGAGCACTTTTCTATTAGGACTATTCTGAGAGATTGACAACTTGATAACCTGTCTATTATGTGAGTCATCTACATTTTGCCACTGCGTTCCACATGACTAGTTAACCAGATTCATTTGAAAGTAAACTTTTGAATGTGGGTAAACCCCTGTAGCACAATTATGTTAGGACTAGTCAAAATGGCGCGAAACATACAAGAGTACAGCATGACGTGACAAGGGACTGACACATATGATATCCTTAGAAAACTTCTTGAATTCAACAGAAAAAAGTAATAGTCTTTCTTCATTAAAATGAACACATTTTGGGTTAAAACTGTTCTTAATGCCAGCAACTTGGAAATCAAATGACCACTCAAGAATTCTTTAGACTTAAATTCAAATATAGACAGGGAGAGTGTAAGATCACATCTATATTATCAGGGAAAATACAGTAATGTCAAAAATCTCTCACCTAAAGCTGCTCCTCCTTTTATTTCCAGGAGAGGAGGAGAACCCCCCACTTGTGTTACTTAGAGAATTTGTGGACGTATTTGGACTGGGATCAGCCGAGCTGCCTGCAGACTCTGAAAACACAAAATTTATCACAGATTATAATATAAAGATATGATATTCACTTAAAACAGCAGTAGTGATGTTATCAGGTCATGTAATGTGTACAATGACTTAAAAATTTAAGAGTATTGATTTGAAATGTTTCAGTAAAACCAACATGTTCACTAAAAGAATATTATGTATCAAATGTAAATCTTACACATAACACGTTATCCATGCAACATTTGAAATCCAACAAATTTCCACATTTATACATTCTCAAAGCAGATAAGATAAGGTTTTTTTAAGCAATACCTCAGATCATGTTATAGTGCCTGTTATGACAAAGTGCAACAAAGAAAAAATCCTATCTTAACAATCTTCATTTTTTTTTTTTTTTTGCAACCAAACCATCATCTGTGTTTATCTTACTATCGCAAAAAGCTAAAAGAACTACATATCTTAACACTCAAAATAAATTTCTCTTCCGTCAAAGCTGTGTTTATTGACTAAGTTTTAGAGAACATGCTAATACAACAGTCAGACCACACTTGTGTAAAAGAAATGTTTAATTTCCTTCTATCCCCTGAAGTGTTTACAAATCTAATACGAGAGAGAGAGAGAGAGAGAGAGAGAGAGAGAGAGAGAGAGAGAGAGAGAGAGAGAGAGAGACTTTTTTGAACCAGATGACTCGCAAATGAGACACCATTAAAATATGAAACTTGCAGATGTCAATGTACTGTTTTAAATGGCACACAATAAGGCAAGCAGTACTTAAGTACCTGGGCTAAACATTGCAATTCCTAGAACCTAAATTTCAGAGAAACACCTGATTGCATTAAAGAAACACAGGTAGAACATAGGCCTCAAGAGAGAAATCCATATACCTACCATGAAAAGAAAAACTTCTCCTTTTGTAGCACTTAAACATGATGAATTTATCTTCTTAACTCTTAGTCTGCATTTACTTCACCAAGTTAAACAATTTTAAGAACCTGTACATTTTCAGTCTAACCGGTTTCACCTGCACATGTATAGCACTCACATTTGACTGTGCATTAAAGCAGACATTTGTTCGGGCCCAGGTTTCTATTGTTGGCATAATTAAACAACACCGCAATCTTACAATGTGATATGTTTTTATTTCATGTGTGAGGTATGCAGACTACATTGCTGCATAACATGCTTTATTAATAAACTACAACAAAGCTATGGGAAAAGAATAATCCTACAGAAAGTTCAAGATGTCATTTTTGGACTACTGTGCAATTGTTTACTCTGCATATTTCATAAAATCATAACTAAGAGCTTATTTTTAAATGCCCCTGAAGCCAAACGTATGACTTTTTGAAGTTATAGTCAATTTTTCTATATTGTAGTTTTGTATATATTTTGATGTCTATTCATAGGTATTGCAATCAAAATCACAACTTTCAAGGACAAAATATGGATAATATTAATATTAAGATGGTATATTGTATTCATATTTATTCCACGACCTTGTTTCCAAGTGTATAATGTAGTAAAAAATGTAGAAGTTCTATTTCAGGTTGTGCATGCAGCCTGCTGAATTGAACAAGCACCAAGCTTAACACGTTTTTGAACATTTACAAATAACATCATATACATATTTAAAAAAAAGCCTCAATAAGCAAAGCACAAGTTAAAGTGAATGCATTTTTTTCATTTTTCATTCCGTTTCCCCACGAATGATCCCCTCCACTCTCCAATTATGAGAAGCAGTTTGTCTTCATGAAAGCATCCACAGAAGTTATGATGGCACTATCTTTTGAGGGGGAAAAATAGCAACTATAGTTTGAAATAAGGCACCAGTGCACCTGTGTACCAACCTCATGCAAGTTTTGTATATTTACAAGCAAGGGTAATACAGGTTTTAAAGAAAAAATGCCATCCAATCTGAGAATGAAGTGCTGATGGAGATAACTTAGAAGTATGTGAATCTCCTTGAGACTTCTGCTTGAAGTGAAACCAGACAGTGAATTAGTCCAGGGTATTTTATACGTGAAACCACTTCAGTATTATAGTATTCAAGTTAAAATTGGCAGCATTCTCTTGAAATACGAAATCTGTCGAGACCTCATACATTATCTTAAAGTAATAAGATGTTATAAACAATCATTATGCTGGAGATGCACAATCTAAGCTACATTTTGACCATTTTCTTTAATTGTTCTTGCAGATTTAGTTCTAAAGACTGAGTACCTGCAATAACTGGTCTAAGGGCTCTTAATTCCAACATACTCACAAAATTACCACTTTTCTATATTCTGTTCTTCTCAGCACCTGTTAATCTGTTTATCTTGTTTATCTGATTGAATTCAGCAAGAGTCCCTGCAGAGTGGGATCGATTTCAATACAGTGATAGTTTCATTGGGAATGAGCCCTATGAGTTAATTATGTGACAAAGGTGCCATTTAAGGACAGCTTTTTAGTGGATCACTCTCTCTCTTTTTCTGCTTATGAAGTAAATATTTACTGAATATGGTAAATAATGCATGGTATAGAAGCCCAACAAATATTATGTTCATGTACCTGGCAATAAGCACACGTCACATTGTGTACAAGTCAGGTTATACAATGGTTTGCTTCCTGCTATAGAATAAGCCTGTATGTCACTTCAGAACTTCAGCTTTTTCAAAATTTTTAGTTTTGAAACTGAATATAACTAGTAATTAAACTGAACAGTTTGCAGAAAATTAAATTTACAAATTCGTGAAAAAATTGCAGTGAAAGGATCTAAAAAAAAAAATCAAGTTTTATTCTGAAAAATAATTTGAAGATAATTGCCAATTCCTCAGGATGGTTACATATATCTAAGACATTTTTTGGAGAAATATGTCTGCTTATTTTCTTACTCCACCCTGCATGCACAGCCCTTCTATGCCAGATGCTCCTATTCTATCATAATATATCTACTTAATGCACTGACCACCTTAACATCCTTCCAATTTATTGGTTTCAAATGGCACTCCAGTTCACATACTAATATACAAAGAGGTCTAAAAAATGAATACCATCTTCCCCATACAACTCTCCCCACAAAACTGAAACTATGGCAATTTTAACATACCTGTGTCTTCTCTTGATATCTTTTTTTTTTCCTGAACAAAGTGAGGAAGCTCCACTCACTCACATACACCAAGGCAGCTCGGTCTATAATTCTAACCTACCCATCAGATGGGCTTCCCACTGTAGAATAAACATACAGGAAAGGCTGCTATTTCTAGATTTACCAGAGGTCAACACCATCCAGTCTTCTGAAGGTACTGGAGACCAATCAACTAACTAAGCCGCTGACATCAATATTCTAAAGATGAGCTGAACTGGTTTTTACTTCAAGGAAGCCTTAATTTCATTTTCTCAAGCAATGACCTGTTCACAATAATGAGGTCATTTCCCTCGGTATTTTTATTTTCATTATTTTTTTTTCGTTGGCCACTATGAGGAATATGGGCCAGATAGAGTTCAAGAGACTTAATACATTAAAAACCTTTTTAGTTAGGTAACACTTCCAATGTTTATATTAGTGTCTGATTTTAATTTGTTTTAAGTTCTACATTGGGATAGAAGGGAATAAGGTGTTGAAATATTCAACACCATTTTGACTAGGGCCTCAAAGTAATCCTTTTCTATCAAAATTCCAATTGATAGCCAAATACTAATGCCATTTTCTAATTTAAAAGATTTTTTTCTAAATCTTTTAGGGTTAACACATAAACCAGCAGAGGCTTTGAGCATTTATGAACATCAAATGATTACAGAGTAAAGTGCCTTAAAAATTACCAATAGGCATGCATTCAGCTTTTTATCTAGAATCAAACATTTGAATTGTTTTAAATTATAATATATTGGGTGATGACTTGTAATGGCTCTTCTTTGTATAGTCCAAGCAAAATAAAGATCAAATTCTGTAAATTAAAATACACTTAAGACATAAAAAAAAAAAAAAAAAAAAAAAAAAAAAAAAAAAAAAATCATAAAGAAAAATTAAACACAACTTTACATATTTCTGAAGTATTCTTATATCTCATTATGTTGGGTAAGGAAATTAATGTGAGTCTCAGAGAGATTCACATACTTCCAAGTTGTCTCCATCAGCACTTAATTTAAGAAAATTCATATTTTGTAGATATAAAACCTTCCCCCTTTTCTTTCCAGACATATGCTTACATCACAAACGTAATTAAATCGCTATTACTGCTAAATAATGAATTTGTATATTGAAGCAGAAATGAGAAAGAAATGTATTAATGGCTGACTTTAACAAAATTAATAAAGCTGTTATCTTAAACTCACACACCATGCTTCAAATATAGGAACTTATCTGTTTGATGGTTGATAGGTATCAGAAAATTGTCGATGATCCCAGGAAATTTTGTTAATTGTACTAGGTCATCCCCAAACCCCTTTTTACCTATACAGGGAGGGGTAAATAGGAAGCACAGGATGCAATTTAAAATAACACTGCAGATTGAAACCACATGGAGGAGGAACCAAGAAGAGCCATTAAGATAACCATCAAATCTTTTTTCGTCTTTGTTTAAAGTAAATCAGGTAAAAAAAAAAATGCACATGGGAGATAAAAACTGCCTTTTTTCTTCAGAGCGAAAAAGAGGGGGGGAATCAAATATAAAATGTAATGGCAGCCAATGAGTTTGGAATCAGTCAATATAGCACTTTACAAAGGGTGAGGCAGACAAATTCAATTTCAAAGGCGAATAAAGTGAGGCCAAGACAAACCAATCCAGACCAACCTTTTTCATAATAGGGAAAATTCCATCAAATTGAATTCAAACTATAGACATATCATAGTAGCGAAATCAGGCAATTTTCAATTTAGGTGTCTTTTTGTATAGATATATCTACAACTTAGAGCAAAATTGAGAAGTTTTTCTTGAAGTACACAGTAATTATACAGTAAATTATAACAAAAATGCTTAAAATCTTTTCCAGTTGGATACACTTAATTCAATCATAAAAGCTGTTCAATTGCAGTTTCTATTTAGATATCATTTCATAATGATCTCCTACTATGAATTCGACCTAAAAAGACTTTAATTTCACATTCCATTATCAAATCAATTCACAATCTGCCTCATCTTCTATCAAAAGCATCAAGTATACTTTATCTCCTCAGTAATTCTGCTCTTAGATATTCCCCTCAGAGCGTTTCTATTTGTGTTTACACTACAGTGAAAGCTTAATTGCATTCCATATGGAACACCTTGAGACCTAAAGTACACGATGCAGGATTTTTTTCCCTATAACCTAGCCCTCACAAACGGACCATTACAGATGCTATATATATCAGCCCTTGAACTATAAGTACAAATAAAACAAGTTCAAACATAATGCAAAAAATATTTTGATAAATAAATAAATACACAATTTTAAGTGATACTCTAAGTTTGTATTGAGAAATTTTCTAATTATTTATGGTTTCTCAAAGTATCTGTTATTGTGGTTAGTAAATATTAAAGCAGTGTATATACTGTCATGAAGCGAGACTAAATGAGGTGCTGCCACATATTGGCCAAATTTGAAACCAGGCAAGGTAAAGAAATTACCACCAAATATGCTGTATATGCCAACCAAAATGCCATCTATAATGATGATAATGCGGATTTGTAAGCAGGTTAAAAAGTAAAAAGAGCAAAATTGTTCACATTAAGTTCTCTGTCAACATTATACTCCTTAACATTAAAGCATTTTAAAAGAACCTTTGGAAAGGAAATAATCAGACCTGGGCCCTGTATCTCAAAAGCGTGATATCACATAGAGGCTATAGTGTATTACATGGGGCGAGTATGGGCGAGTTATGGAATCGAGACGCTTGCGCTCGGTCGCAATGCGCGATGCTTTTGAGATATGGGGCCCAGGTCTTAGAAAACACAGCATTTATCACTCCTTAATCAGGTTAAAGATGGAATGTTCATACAGTGTGATTAAAAACTATCCAAGGATTCACTTAATTTGATTGTATCAATCAAAAAAGATAACATTTTTATGGACCTAGAATATAGGACTGACAGTGACCAACCTCACACAAAGTTTACAAATTTAACCATCTTTTAGCAGAATCCTATAGTTAACTGATGTAAAATATCCATAATTACGGAAACTGAAACATATGCATTTTCCAATTTTAACTGAATAAAAATCAATTTTTTTTAAATTTACATATTAGTAATTTGCTTGAAGGGACCGATTTCAAATTTCAATCAAGCTTTTTTGGTACTGGACAAAAATAAAAATAAACAAATAAATGAAAAGTGTTAGTGCATCCAGAATTCAATGACTCCTGTGGCAGCAGCTTGCCTGATGCATCTACATAAAATCAAATGACAAGGATGCATACCTTCCATTTCCATGCTGCTCCTAGAGCCAGAAATCTTCATACTTGGCACCTGTTTCAGTGCTGCTACAGGGACCAGCCCTTCTTGTTGAGCAGCACCCTCTGTGGACAGAGTACGAACTAAGCACCAGTCAGGTCTTTCTGAGGAGACAGATAGCACTTCCACTTGTTCTCCTTTGTGTATGGTAAGTTCTTGACTTTGAGCTGCTGAGTAGTCTTCCACTACAACAGCAACTTCACCACTCTGGAAATTGAAAAAATGACAAACTCAATGACAAGAGCTTTTGAGTTAAACATTTCACAAATGAACTGTTGACTTTGTTGTCTGGTGTCTGGCACTGATGGCAGTCCTGCGATTCAACAATGAAAAAACTATCAAAAAAAGAAAAAAAAAAGAAAAAAGAAAGAAAGAACATTAAAACTTAAATGCATTCAGTTCTTCTTGGAATAAGTTGGCAGCATTACAAGCAGCATCCAATTTTAGATAAATTCATCTTCGTTGAATTCAACTGTGGTCTCAGTACAACAGGTTATACAGTGTTTCTAGGAATTAATTAAGATATCTGAGACAGAGGTATTCAACATGGATTCAGATCCCTGCCAATCTGTCTACATACACAACATACATGAGGTGAAACCTATATCTGGGGTTGAGCTGACTCATACCATGGTATTTATGTATGACAACATTCTAGGTAACATACTACATACTATGAGTTGGTTCCAAGGGTATGCCTATGGTGTCTACTTCTCAGTCTATATTCTATTACATTAATCACATTAAGCATAACTTTTTTCTGTATATCCAAAGTAACCAATAAATAAATTAAGATTTTTTAAAATTAAATAACTGAATGTGAAAATAAAAATACATGATAAATTTTTGCTCTTACAGAAATGACAGAATGTGACTTTTTACTTAATAATATATAATATCGTTATTTGGAGCAAATTACATCATAATTTAGGAAATATGCACAACATTGAATTAACAACTAAATTTCAAATTTCAAATGTTAATGCCAAGATGAAATCGCACACACACACACACACACACACACACACACACACACACACACACACACACACACACACACACACACACACTATCATATATGCTACCTAACATCTGGGACTTACCACCTCTAATTCTAGTTCAAATACTTCCCAAGTCATATAAATATCTTTAGCACTATGGGTTCTCTCCATGAAATAATAGCTATAAAGGTCAAAATGAGGTAGCTTTCTGTGACAATCAATATTCTCCATTGCTTAAAAATAGCCATAAGGACTAATTTGCCTGCGTTTCAGTAACACTAATATATGAACAGACAGACACACACATTTACAATAATGATAATCGAAGTTGATTAATTCAGACCAAGAACAGACTAACTGATGGCACCACAAGAAGTTGCTCAACATGGGGTTTACTAGTGTAAGTGGAATGTGGGTTAATTCGAAGGGATGTGATCATCTGATGACGTCATAGGTATACTGTACTATTTTCAGCCTATATGTGAGCCTATCTGCTGACAGGACCTGAGACTTAATAAAGATGGAAAAGTAAATTAAGTAAACCAAAGCGAAACAGACCAAATCCTGAAAGCTAAACAACACAGTCGAAGTAAAATTTTTAATCCCCATGCCTATTGAAAACTAAGCACTGTAGAGAAATTAATCTTAATATCCATTTTCCAAAAGGATTTGTTATAAAAAGTGCTGTAATATCAAGTAATCAGTTAAGTGGCTTAGACCAAAACCTTGCTATCCTGAGCACAGCATATATAAGTAGTATGTCACGATTCAGTATATTTTTGAAATCAACTTATACTTAAATATGATCATATTTCGAGGTCAACCAGGCACCAACGTACGGTGATAAAAATAATGTGCTTTTCTGCACTCTAAAGAGGAATGATGTATACTGCTTCTTCTTCTTCTTTTTTTTTTTTTTTTCTTTTTTTGCTGCATCATATACCTCTCTTGATTTCTGTAGCCAGGTTCATTATTTAAATACTTAACCACAGTCACAGTGAGAAATTTGGCACTAGATATTCACATGTTTTACTGTACCATGCCCAGCAGGAATTTATGGAAAAATAGGAGAAAAAAGTCATCACCCAACTGGCCTCTGGTTAAGGGTAACTTGTACCTGTTAATCAGTGAGGTAGAAGTTCCCCTCTGGTGTGAGCCCAAATATCGACGGATCTTGCACACTCCCAACCATCTTACCCACCATAACTGATGGCTGAATCAAGGTGGATTCTAGGAGCAGCTTTGGCATGAAGCTAAGACTGGGTTCCCATACTTATATCGATCCATCTGAATAGACCTAACTCCCTGAGGGTTCACACTAAATTGCTATCAGCTCAAGAGGCTTAAATGTCTGTCAAGCTACCCAAATCAGCTAGGGGTACGGATAATTACCCCCTAACAGTTTTACTAAAGCGTGACAGACATTTAAGCCAGTTAGTTTGATAGCAATTTAGTGAGACTCGCCAGGGAGATAGATAGATCCAAATATCTGTGGAAATGGTCCTTAACTATAATACTGACACCATTCCTCATCCACCCTTAATAATTATGACAAACCATCTTTATTGCCCTACCTCTTCTTACCCAACTCCTCTTTCTTCCACCCTCCTACCTTCAACATGCATCCAAACTTCACGTTTTGATTGTTCTCATATCCACTACCATCTTTTTCAATTCTTACCATTCTACTTGCACATGCACTATAATATTTCTATAAGTCAATTGCGTGAAACAAAAATACCCTTATACTAGTTATAGTGTGTCTGGCTTATTACATATACAGTTTGACAAGAAGTTGCTCAGGTTAATAATTACATTGTTGAAATAATAACAGCCTTGCCAAAGTGGCAGCAAAGAAAATGATGCAGCATCTTCAGTGCAGAAAATAAAAAACCTTAGAAACATGCTCCCAGTGCCTTGGTTAAGATCAGATACATAATTGTACTATACTCAAAATAGATAGGCTTAAAATAACCTCCTGCTTCTGAGGGATAGACATAAGCTGTCTATATCATATATAAGGTCACTAGCGAGAGTATGGATAGACACAATATACATAATATAAACTAATAAATAAAACCCTGATTCCTTCATCAATTGCCATTTTTTAAATATTTTGCCTTTCATTTTTTTTTATATTTTGCCTTTAAAGTAATTGGTTATTCACAGGTCAAGTGGTGCCCTGAAAAGGTAAGCTATAACATCTCACCTCTAAATCAAACAAGTGGCACTTTTTGTAAAATACAACACTTTCCATACCATACCTTTTCCTCTTTTTCTGTATCATCTCCAAGACCAAGGCCCCTTCCAAGTGGGACTTGCATTAACTTAACAATATAGATCCCCAAGTATCCCAATGCTCCTGCCATGTCGACCAACTTAACACTGACGTTTGCTGCGCTATTTGCACTGTTCTCCACTTTATTTTCTATCCCTGGATGTCAATAGCTTAATGCAGCACTTTTACACCAGTATAAATCACGCAGAATCATCGCATTATGTAGTTTTCATCATGCCTCATCAGGGGTGAATCATGGTTATTTTCCAGTTAGTTTCTATCAGTTGAGTCTATCTGTAGGTAATTCTAGTGTTACCATTGACTGACTGCTACATATATATTCAATCAAGAACAGATTGAGATACATCAGCATAAACCACTGCTGTTGTTGCAGAATGTCTGACAACGTTCGAATTTAGTGGACTGCGATGATCTAATTGACACGTGAATAGTGGGAGTTAAGCAATCAATTAACTGCCTCTTAACAACCGGGGGTTCCCAGGTAAACCAAAGTTTCCAGTGCATGCTTTAATAAGGCATCTTCTAAGTGAGCATCCCATCAACACATTAACAAAATCCACCACTTATTTTCTCAAAACAAATAGCAGACACTAAAACAAGAGAAAATACCCGCAACCTTGACCACAAAAAGATAAACCTGGATCTCCAGCTGTTTTTTTTCCTAGGTTTGACCTCAGCTTGCTACCTGCATAATATGCACAGGTGCAGAAAAATATGCACTATCTAATCTGAAGATAACAGGCTGTATTGTTCTACAGAAACTCTGGCCAACTGTCCCAAGTTGCTTTTCCCACTGCTGTTAGGTGGTTTGTAAGGTGTGCTTCCACGAGCCTTGGAGACAATACTGTACAAAGATAAAGTAGTCTGGCATAAGTAACTAAACTGCTGCACTGAAGAGACAAATGCACTTTTAGCAGTTACTGATCTTTAGATGTCTATCAAAACTGTTCAGAATCAGTTTCTTATTGTTCAGAAATTCTTCTGCAGCTGTTTGAGCACAAAAAAAAAAAGCATCTGTCGGGAAAACTCACAGTTCTGCTGGCTGCCAATGCAGACAATGCAATTTTGTTCTAAAACAAAGCATCTAATGGCAATCACTTCTGTAGATTGCAATCAAAATTATTCATTTTTATGCCATCCAAAATTGGTGGTTTCTACAGAAGTTACCCTGCTTTAACCAGTGCCCTTATTGCCAGATAAACCATCAGTGTTCACCACCTAGTCCCCATGCAGGCAATGCATTCTTAGAAACCAGCTCTACTACTGCTGCTATTCTCCATCTGTCAACGCCCAGCTCTGTGCTCAGGTGGAGAAAATCATTTATTATGACTAGGATCCACAACAGCTCTGTCACCTGGTGTACTCTAATTTCTCTATGTAGAATTCATGTTGTTCATACAAAAGACAAAATATTCTTAGAGCATCTTGGCAACGAAACCATTTCAACTGCGTCAATCAGATCAACCACCTGAGGTCTAACTATGGGGGGAGGGGAAAGGGGGGCATCTCAAAAACATCACCTTAACATAACTTGAACATTATAGATCAGGTCAAATCCGTTATGCTGCCTTTCCCCACTGAAGCATTGACTACCTGCTCTTGTGTGCTTTAATTACCATCCCAGTGGGATTTCTATATGCTATATCTATTTACAATAGACTTCTGACCAACAATACTAAAAGTCAGTCATATTAAAGATTTTTCCTACATCAGTATGCACAGGTCTAAGCAAGCACATTCTGCACGGCATAATTAACCTGATATATCCAAGGTTACCATGGCAACAAACCAAAAAAGGAAATTGGCCTGGGAGATTATCAATAATAGACTCCATAATCCATCTGCAATAATCACCATGCAGAGACCAGGGTAGTTGATAGGTTGACATACATAAGGTTTTCAGCTTT